TTCATATGTTAGCACTCGCTGTATGCCAGACACCATATTACTGTTGCTGTTCAGTCGTTCTCAGTTGTGTTTCACTCTTTGTGGCCACATTTCAAGTTTTCTTGCCAAAGATACTAGAATGGTTCGCCATTTCTTTCTGCAGCTTATTTTCCAGATGAGGAAACTGAGGTAAACAAAATTAAGTGACTTGCCCAGGGTCACACAGCTAGTAAGTGGCTGAGGCCAGATTTGAACTCAGAAAGATGTGTCTTCCTGATTCCAGGCCAAGGATACTATCCACTGTGCCACTCAGCTGCCTCAGCAGGCAATGTGCTAAGCACTTTATGATTTTAAGTGTTTATTAATTAATTGATTTCTATCCACATCTTCCTGATCCTTAATCCAATACCCTATACACTATCCCACATTGCCTCGCCAAATGTAGAGATGGGAAGAGAACAGATAGAGGCCCTCATGAGCACAAGTGAAGTAGGCCAACTACATGATATTCTAGGCCTCTGGGAAAAAATGCAGACATGATTGACCATTTACTTCAGACAGATGATCTTTGAGGAATGGTGTTGAAATGGAAGAAATGCTTCAAGACTGTAGACAGGCAAATGCCCTGGTTTTCAAAAAGAGAAAGGTAGATTAATTAAAATTCTAGGTCAGTGAGTTGTCAAGGCATTTCCTAGTAAAAATCTAGAATGAAATTATTAAAGGAATAGTTGATATACATTTAGAAAAGGAAAAGGTGATTAGTAATAGTTTGAAGGGATAAATTACAAAATCATGTCAGATTGGTCTAATTTCCTTTATTGATAGGATTTCTAGCCCAAATGGTCAAGGTAATGCCATAGACTTAATACTATTTATCTGGATTTCAGCAAGGTATTTGACAAAGTCTATCACTTTATTCTTGGGTACAATGTTGACGTATAAAGTGGACAATAGTACAGTCACATAGGTTGGTTTGGAAATAGTTGACTGTCAGGAACCAAAGATTGTCGATAATGGGTCAATACCAATCAAAAGATGCATGATTAAGGTCTCTGTCCTTGGTTCGATCCTGCTCCACATTCTATCAGTGACTTTCATGAAAGTATAGATGGCATGTAGATTAAGTCTGAGAATGACACAAAGCTAACACAGTTCATATATTCAGTAATAGAAATCTGAAACAAGTACAGACTGGGAGAGGGGGGATGATGTGAACCAAATCAAGTTTAAAAAGAAAAATATATATGATTTGTAATTGGGTTCAAAAATAAAATATAAAAGGTTAGGATGGGGCAGATGTATTTAGAAAGCAATTTATGTGAAAAATCTCTTGAGATTTTAGTGTATTTCAAGCTCTTTGTGGGTTATCAGTGTGATGTGATGGTCTAAAAGAGCTAATGCTATCTTAGACTGCATGAATATAAGTGTAAGAATAGAGACCTGGGATTTCATTGGTATAGGAACTCTCAGAAGAGGAAACTCCCTATATTAATACATGTCAGAAACTTCTCTTCATCTTAAAATCATAGTTTCCTAGACCACTGAGAGGCTAATTAACTTGCCTAGAGTCACACAGTCAGAATGTTTCAGAGGCAGGACGCAAACCTGGTCCTTCTGGTTCTGAGGCTGACTATTCATTATATTATTCCACATTGCTTCTCTTAATACAACTATATTACCTACAGTGAGAGCAATGATCTAGCTCTATTGTTCTCTGCCCTATAACATCATATCAGGGTTACTGTGTTCTCTTCTGTTGCCATATTTAAGAAGGAACATTTACAAGCTAGAACACATTCAAAGGAGGTGATTAGGATATTGAGAGATCTTTAAACAGTACCACAAGAGGATTGCTTAAAGGATCTGGGAATATTTCACCTGAAGAACAGAAGGATTGTTATAGGGGAAGAGGGTTAGAATTGATCACCTTGGCCCTGGAAAGAACTAGCTTCAATGGGTAGGAATTAAGGAAAGCAGATTTTGATTTCAAATAAGGAACAAAGCATCATCCTACCAACTGGTGCTAACCCGCGTGGAATAGGTTGCCCTAGGAGGTAGTAAATTCCTTTTCACTGATGACCAAGTAGAAGCTGAATAACCACCTGTTGAGATTTTAGAGATGAAATTCATGCTTTGGGTGGGGATTGGATAAGATGACCTTTGAGGTCTCTTCCAACTCTGTATTTCTATGATTTTGGGAAAACAGAAATTCAATATCTCAAGTTCCTTTTGGCTATGCATAATCTATTCCCTCTCTCTGGCTTTAGAAATGTTGGATTCCTACTTTCTTCTTTAACCTGCAAGAAAAATAAAGTGATAGAAACTCAACCCAAGTATGGGGTAAATGTATTTGTGTATATAATCTAAGAAAAACTATTAGTCCAAAGCGCCTGAGATATGAATGTTTATTTCTTCTTTTCAGGCTCGTACAATTCTTCATTGTTTCTTTCCCAGAGGGGCCCCTCATGCTGCTCACTATCATATTATAATTGTATGCTTTCCCTTTTTCTTAGGAACAAGTAACTGGTCAATTTAGTCAAAACAGGCAATCTATTATAGATATAGACACATTGAATTTTGATGGATACTAATGGCAATATGGTGTTCCTGGGGACAAAAAAATAATAAATAAGATAAACATCTTATCCTTCATGGCCAATAGATGCTAAACTTGGTCTATTTTACATGAGCTGTATTTATAAAGTTGTCAACTTGTTTTCATCCCTACTGTCACATTAGTATTACACCTATCTCTTGCTAGGAAAATTAATATAAACTTCTAACTGTGCACATTGCCTTCTTCCCATTCCAATCTTGTCTTTCTACTATTGACAGAATAATCTTCCATATGCTTAGATCAGATCACATCACTTCCCTACTCAAAAATAGTTAATATGTTCCTCTTGTCTATGGAATAAAGTATAATCTTTTCATCATGCCATTAACCACCCTCTACAATCTGATACTAACCTACATTTTCAGTTTTATCTTGCAGTATTCCTTCTATCAACCTCTAGATTACTGTCAGACTGATTCATTCTTTGATCTTGTCCTGTTTCTGTGTCTTTCCCTTTTTGTCCCCATGTGACTGAAATATACTTATCCCAACCATTAAAGTCCAAATCAGATGGATTTTTCTTTTTCTATTGGGCTGACAAAAACAACTGCAATGATCAATTCAATTAAAAAACCAAAATATTTATTAGCTACCCATTGTAGAAAAAGCACTGCTAGGAAGTGCTAGAGCACATCTAATAATAATAGCTAGCATTCACATAGTCCTTGTTATGTCCCAGGCACTGCATTAAGCACTTCATGATTTTAAATGTTCATTAAGCTTTCAGCCTTATCGCTATCAGGGTTATCTTACCTAGGCTGAAGAAATGGCAGTCAGTCTGGTATGATTTCAGGCACATGGGGCTATGCTTTCATACCTATCAAAATTTACATTACCTACTTTTGACTGTCAAATTCCTTTTTTAGGAGGAAACATTTTCCATTTTATATTGGCAGCTCTGCTTTATTTCAGCTCCACAGTACATCATGCCCTTGTGCCTGGTAACCCCTGATGGCTTCCTCACCTTCCCCCTCATGCTTATCAGCTTCTTTTTCTGTTTTGTCTTTCCAATTGGAATGTAAATTTCTTGAAGGCAGAGACTATATTTGTTTTTTCTTATTTGTATCCCTAGCACTTAACACAGTGCCTGACACATGGTATTCCCTAATAAATGTTTATCAAACTGAATTCTGTAATTAAAGATGACATTTAAAAAAGCAAATACCCACAGAGAAAGTACCATTGTATTAAATTCACACTAAGGTATTAAATGACTGTCATTACATTTTTATTTTTGTAGGAATTTTGATAACAAGGATAAGAGTTGACAGCATGAGGCTCATAAAAAGAGTGCCACAGTGGCTGGATTAGGGTATGAACATATAAGACTGTTACAAAAATTAGTGAGTAGTAAGTACAACTATAAATATTAAATTAATGGGGAAGAATGAGCAGGAAGATCCATAGCCAGGGCCAAAGCTAAAGGAAGTTTTCCAATGGTCTATGGTTTCATCTTGTATAAATACTGGAGGCTTTTGCATATTTTAGTTGATAGAATACACTGAAAGAGACACCTTTGTCTTTGTATAAACCAAACACGTTATAAAAATATAGTACCAGAGAGTTTTGAAATTATCTTTCTGAGCAGGAAATAATAAGAAAAGAAAAAAATGGTATCTGAGAGGAAATAGCCTCATTTAACATATTTGGCATTTTTAAAACCTGAAATACTTTTATTACGTGATTTCTGAAATTTTAGAAATCATTTTTTGACAAGAAGAGTCTCCTTACAGAAAGTATGGAGAGAAAGAAGTTTAAATACACCAGCAGAGAATGGGGGATGTTTATCTTTCTTTCATAAGTAAGTAACATATCTATTCTTAAAACAAAGGCCAGCTAAGAATTTCAAAGAATGCCTTTCTACTTTTCAGGGTATCAGGAAGAATGAAGGCTTCTTTTAAAAATGGAAGAAGGGCTTCAGTGTAGTATCAAAGACCAAAAAAAAAAAAAGATTTGAAAAGGCAGAGGGAAATCCTGACTTGTTTCTGCCTTTGAAAGATAGAACAGTATGACAGAAGAGATAGGGAAGAAGGACCACCGAAGTAACACTGAAGACTTAAGTAACAGATATGAAGCTTTTCCTGAAGAGAATGGAACTAAATTACCGAAGGAGCAAACAGCTGCTTGTCTTCTAAGAAATGATGATGTGAATCAATAAGTGATATGAGGTGAGAGTTAATCCAGTAAAGGTCAGAGGAAGAGTCAATAGTGATTGGTGCCTCCCTGGTGACTAATTATGAGGCAGCTATTTGTCAACCTGATAAACAATAATAGAGAAGCCTACTTGGTTCCCAAGGAGTCTTTGCCAAGTCCAAAGTCAAAAATGGATGATTCCTACCTATTTTCAGAAGTTCACATGGATATGCATAATATTATCAGAAGGAATGCAGAAAAAATTGCTAACCATTATGAAGCCTTGAGCAAAAAACCTGAAGAGAACAAATGGTGTTTTCATCACTGCTGCTGATTAAAGTAAAAGGAAGATCTGCTGATTAAGAAGACAGTGACTGAGAAAAGCCTTCACATTTCTGGAACTTAGAATAAAAGAGAGTGAAGAGATCTGTTGTCAAGGACAACTGGACTAACAAAGACTGGTAAGAATGTATTTTCCTGGAATTTTGAAAAACCAGTCAAAAGGCTTTTAAACTAGAAATGAAGGGGTATGGAGAAAATTGTCCAAAGCTACAAAGAAGATTAGTAATAAAAATGCCTAGGAATTCAAAGGCAAGCCCTCATATTTTAAACTCTGAAACTCTCCTCTCTGATCATCACCACTTATCCTTCCATCTCTACCTCCTGTCTTATTCCTCCTAAACCTATTCTACATCCCTATCCTCCCATCCCATCATCACTATTCTGGATTCACTTTCTTGTTTTAACACCTTGGCCCTGTAGTTAAGTAGCCCAGCTACACATTGTTCCCCACCCCAACTCTTGATATGTCCTTAACCTATACTGTTGGTTCTCAGACATAGATTTCTTCCTACAATCTGCCTTCTTCATTCATAGTGTTGAACTTTTGGATGAATGCACAAGAGAAGGATACATGATGGAAGGAATTAATATAAAACTATCAATAGGGGTCCAAACAGAAGTCAGATTATCATTGAAATATACTACAAGCCCCCCGGAGTACATAAAATAAACTGATGAAGAGTTCAGGGAATAAATCAAAAGCCTATCATGGAGGCATGATATAGTAGGACTGGTAGACTTCAATTATCTGTACAGTTATCAGAGCTCTCTTTTCCAAAAGCAGTTGTCATTAAATTGCAGTTAGCATTGTTAGTATCCTTTATGTGGCAAAGTTTAACCATGTAATTTGACTCACAGAGTGATCCTGTTTATGAAGGATGGGGGAAAGTGGAACAATTGATTAAAATCAATTAAATTCAATAAGTATTTATTAAGTGAGTACTATATACAAAGTACTGTAGTTTGCACAAAGGCAAAATAATTCACAATCCTTGCTTTAAAGGAGCTTAGGATCAAAATAGAAGATATGGTATGCACTGAAAAAACAGCAACAGATGGTCAAATAAGATCATTGTAAAGGATGGGCAGATAAAGATAAGTCCCTCTAATATGACGGTGGACCTCGGGACCTTGCCATCTACTCTGCAGCTGAATCTTCTTGTAGGCGTCGTCTCCCCCAGTTATAATGTGAGAGCAAGAACTACCTTACTATTCCATTTGTTTCCCCATTGCTTAGGACAATACTTGGTACACAGTATGTGATTAATAAATTCTTTCCCTTTCAATTTTATTCCATAAAAATAATGTGAAATATAGGAGGTAGATATCACTTCTAGTTGAAGTGATATAGTCATAAAGGCTGCATAGAGGAGGTTATACCTGAGTTTGGCCTTGAAATAAGGGATGGATTTCATCTGGCTGAAAAGTTCCAGGGCTGAAGAAGCCCTTTATGTGCCTTCAGGAAAATGTGATTAAAAAATAAGAACTTAAGAGTCGGCAAGGAAAGAACAATGAATGATGCATTGCCCATGATAGCTGTAAAGTAGTTTATGTGAACAATAGTTTCATGAACCGCACTGAAGAGGGCCTTAAATCCTAAGACAAGGAGTTTATCTTTTAATTTGGTCATTCCTTCCCTTGGCTGTGGAGAGTTACTAAAGCCTTTTGCTGAAAGGAGTAATATGAGTAGAATAGATTGGTGAAGAATAAATTGATGAAGAGTTCAGGGAATAAATCAAACACCTATCATGGATGCATGATATAGTAGGACTGGTAGACTTCAATTATCTGTACAGTTATCAGAGCTCTCTTTTCCAAAAGCAATTGTAGTTAAATTGCAGTTAGCATTGTTATTATCTTTTGTGTGGCAAAGTTTAACCATGTAATCTAAGCAACTCACAGCTTAGAATTATTACTTAGTGATCCTGTTTATGAGGGATGGGGGAAAGTGGAACAATTGATTAAAATCAGTTAGAGTGGTGATTTAGGAACTTTACATGAGCAGCAGTGGAAAATATGGATTAGTGAGGGAAGGAACTGAAGCACAGAAACCTTAAGTCATTGCTGCCATGATCTTAATATCCTCCTGTATTTGGTCTGTATCATCCAATAGGCAGGAAAAGAATTAGAGTCTGCAGACTGGGGATGGTAAAGAGGAGAGGCTCTCAAGATTCTATGCCTGTCTATCTAGAGTGATGGGTTAGCCAATATTGGTTAACCTATAGCAGAGTTTAGTCATAGGGAAGACATGTTTGAAATTGTTCCAAAAAAAAAAAGAAATTATTCCTCAGTGTACATAAAATTATCCTATCAGGAAAATCACTAGTTGTAAGGATCTAAAAGACCTCAAAATTGGAAAATGAGGCTTAGGCAGTATACCTGAAAGAAACTTCATATACCTTAGTTATTGTGTTATTATTCCCTTTTCCTTCAATTTCCTTGGAAATCTGGATTTGTGAAGAATGTTTGGCATGTACAGTCATGCACATTATGTTATTCTTTCCACATCTTTACATCTTTGTTTTGCTGTTCTATGTGGCTTATAATGAGAGAGTAAATAAATATTTATTGTGGGTGCATTTGTGTTAGTGACAAAGTGTAAGTAGGAAATGATTGCTTCTACATCCTTTTATCTTTCTCCCTGGGTTTTTCACATCTTCTTCAAACTCTTCTTTACATTTATATTTTTAGCTTGAAAGTTTTCATTTCTTCCTTAAGAATTAATATGGAATTCAAAACAAGAATTCCATTTCTTTTGCTAAGACAATCAGTCAAAGCAATATAGCAAAAAACAGGATGTGGAGTACCAAAAGAGTACTCAAAGTGCATCTTACTGGGACCATTTTTTTTCCTCAGGAATTTTATCTATTGATTGTTATTCCCAAAGAGTTACAAGCTTTCTTCAGTACAGAACAGTTGTAAGGACAGACAGAGATGACAAGTTTACTGTTTCCTTTCTCTCTCCCCCATCAATATTTTTAGTGCTTTCTTGAACTTTGTCAGAACTTAAGGGCTGGGGCAGAGCCAAGGTGATGGAGTAGAGGAAGCACAACAGCTAAGCTCTCTCAGAATTCCCCTCCATATAAATTTAAAATGACACTTCAAATCAAATTCTGGAGTGCCAGAGCTAAAAAGGTCAGAGTAAGACATTTTTTTCCAGCCCAACACAATTTAGGAGATTGGAAAGAGAGGTCTATGACACATGGGCAGTGGCTAGCCTGAAGCCCACAAGGAGGCAACACGAGCTGTGGAACTTAGTGGCAGGGACAGCAGCAGCAACAGTGTTGAGAGCTCTCAAGTCAGAGACAACAAGAGGATTAGGCAACTGTTCAGAAAGAGATTATATAGAACCGTCGTTCTGGCACTAGGACAAGGCATTATTTGGAAACTCCATTGCCTATAACCTCTTCTGGGTCGCAGTTCTAGGGCAGAGAAGAGAAACTTCAGCCCAAGGGTGCAAGGTACCTAATGAATAGTGTCTCTTGCAGTCCAAAGGGAGCAGGTGTTCTAAAGAGTAATAAAGCTCGTGACAGCAAAGGATCAGAAGACCTTTTTGGGAAAAGATGAGGGCACAGACCAGGATAGCAGTAACCACACCGCTCCCTGGATCATGCTATCTTGGAAGCACCCCCAAAATTAGTTCCCGAAAACAGTAGCATAAAAAAGCTAAAGCTTGGGACAGTGCCCTCCTCCCACCCTGGGAATAGAGCTGGACTTTAAGAAAAAGTTCAAAGTCAAGAAATGGGCAAACAACCACAAAATAACCTGACCATAAAAATCTACTATGGTGACAGGGAAGAGCAAGACACAAACTCAGAAGACTACACTGTGAAACCAACTACAAGCAAATCCTCAAAGAAAAATTGTGAATTGGCCACAAGACCAACAAGAATTCCTAGATGAGCTAAAAAATTATTTTAAAAATAAAATAAGATAGAAGAAAAGAAGATAAATAAGAGCAATGCAAGAAAATATGAAAAGACAATTGACAGCTTGCTAAAAGAGGCATAAAAAATACTAAAGAAAATAATACCTTAAAAAGCATTCTTGGTCAAATAGAAAAAGAGATACAAAAGCTTACTGAAGAAAATAATTCCTTAAAAATGAGAATTGGGCAAGTGGAAATTGATGACTCATGAGACATCAAGAAACAATAAAACAAAATCAAAAGAATGATAAAAATTGAAGAAAATGTGAACTACCTCATCAGAAAAACAACTAACCTGGACAATAGATCAAGAAGGGATAATTAAACATTTATTGGACTACCTGGAAGCCATGTTCAAAAAAATAGCCTAAACATCATATTTCAAAAAATCATAAAACAAAATTGTCTTGATATCCTAGAAGCAGAGAGCAAAATAGAAATTGAAAGAATCCATCAATCACCTCCTAAAAGAGTTCCCAAATGAAAACCCTTGAAAAATCATAGCCAAATTCCAGAGATTCAGGTCAAAGATAAAACACTTCAACCAGCAAGGAAGAAACCATTCAAATACCATGTAGCCTCAATCACGATCACACAAAATTTAGCAACTACCATGTTAAAGGAGTGGAAAGTTTGGAATATGATATTCAGGAAGGCAAAGGAGCTAGGATTACCAAGAATAACCTACTTAGCAAAAATGACTATAATCCTTCAGAGGGAAAATGCATATTTAATGAAATAGAGGACTTTTAAGTATGAACATACCAAGATAAATAGAAAATTTGACTTTCAAATATAAGACTAATGAGAAGCACAAAAAGGCAAACATGAAAGAGAAGTCATAAAGACTCAATAAGGTTAAATGTTTACTATATGGAAAGATGATACATGTAACTTCTAAGAAGTTTATTGTAATTAAGGCAGAAAGACTTCACAAAAAGGACACAGGTCTGGGTAAATTATATTGAGATGATCTCCAAAAAATGGAAGGACATAAAAGAAGGATGGACTGGAAGATGGGGAAAGGGAGAGAAGAATGGGGAAAATTACCACACATAAAAGACGTGTGCAAGGAAGGCTTTTTACAGTAGAAGGAAAAATGGTGGTAAAGTGGGCAATGATTGGAATGATAGCAATACTAAACATATGCATTAAATGGCATAGTATTCACATTCTTTTTTAAAAAAATAATTCTCTTTTTTTTTAACTTTTTTTTTAAGCTAGGCCATGGGGTTAAGTGAATTGCCCAGGGTCACACAGCTAATAAAGTTGTGTGTCTGAGGCCAGATTTGAACTCAGGTCCTCCTGAATCCAGGGCTGGTGCTCTATCCACTGTACCACCCAGCTGCCCCAGCATCCACAGTCTTAAAGGAAAAGTTAAATGAGTTAGTGGAAGAAATAGAGAGTAAAGCAGAGGGTTCTCAAATTTCTCCTCTCAGAGTTATATAAATCTAACTATGAGATATATAAGAAAGAATTTAAGGAAATGAATAAAATTTTTAGAAAACTTTAGGTA